ACGACCTACCTAAACACTCAAGTCCCTAGTCCAGGTTTATCGCCTATTTGGGTTCCATCTATGAGGAGTTCCGGCCGAAGTTTCGCTCACAGCCCCAAACGATGTGAACAGGGTTCCCGAGACACCAAACGGGCGCCCGGTACACCGTGCCACGTGCCTACTGCATCACAGCCCACCCCTACGGTCAGCGCTGCGCACGGCCTCCAGCATACTACAAACACCAGAAACTACTTGCAACTCCTGGACAGAGGACAAGGGTGATTAAGAAGCCGAGAGGGTCCATTGGTTTCGGGCCCAATGCGTGGTAGTAGCTGAATCATGGATCACAAACACAGAACTCAGTTCCTGAGGACGGCTGCAATGAGACAACCCACCATGTACTCCTACATGGCCTCTCACCGCTACCTTTACCAAATCGTGTTCACACACTTAGCTCACACACAGTAGGACATGTTCACACACCTCCGATTCATCCTCGATGAATCAGACCTGACTCAACTCTAAGCAGTAGCAGGCATGAAAAACAAACATGAATGAGTAGGCACAACAGGGCTCAAACAACTCCTACTCATGCTAGTGGGTTTCATCTATTTACTGTGGAATGACAGGTCATGCAAAGGATAAAGGGGTTCAGCTACCGCAACAAGTAACAGATGAATCGTTGTTGTCCTAATGCAGTAAAAGAGAGCAGGAGCGAGAGAGTGGGATTGTATCGGAATGAACAAGGGGGTTTTGCTTGCCTGGCACTTCTGAAGATAGCATTGAGTCTTCATCAGTGTCAACGATCACAGCGTCGGTACAACGTCTATCGAGGGGGAACAACACCGACAAACAGAGAAGAAACACAATCAATGCAATGCGACAATATGATGCATGCTATGACATGGCAATATGATGTGTGATAGGTCTAATGCAACTTGGAACATAAAGGTTTGAGTCCATTTGAACCAAGGATTCAAATGATCACCCAAAATAATAAGTGATATAAGTGCATTAGCTTGTTTCTCATAAACAACAAGGTTAAAGTGTTCTGACATGCATGAAACTAGTACAGATGGAAAGATTGGATTTTTCTGATCATTTTTCATATATAATTTGTTTGATTTGGAGCTACGGTTGAATTTCTATGAATTTTAGAAGTTTTGGAATATTTTCTGGAATTTCCTGTATAAAAATAAATCCAGAAAATATTCATTGCGTCAGCATTGCGTCACTATGACGTCAGCAGGTCAACAGACACTGCTGCTGGTCAAACCTGACCAGTGGGGTCCACTGGTCAGTGACTGGGGCTGGTTAGTGCCGCTGACGTGTGGGCCCAGTCAACGGCCACGTCGGCACGGTCAAAACTGGCGCGTGGGGCCACTGTAGTTAGATTAAACTTAATCTATTTTAGTTAGCCGGTTAGTTAGGGGGTGGGGCCCGGCTGTCTGTGACACGGTGCGGTGGTTAGTGGCTAATTAAGCCAGCCACGTCAGCTTGGTCAAACCCGGGTCAACTCGCCGGAGTTGACCCGCGGCTCATCGCCGGCGACGCCAGCAACGGCGGAGGGCGTCGGAAACGCTCCTCCGGCGACCAAATCGGCGACAGCGATCATCTACGCGTAGCTGGCGCTCAGCCGCATCCAAAGGAACGGACGGGAGGCCGCGAGGTGGCCGGAGTTGGGCACGGCGTCGACCTCGGCGACGGCCGGAGCTCGGACGAGCTCGGGGTCGTCGCTAGGAGGCACGGCAGGAGGAGCTGGTGCATGCGTTCGGCTCCTGGGAGCACGGTGAGAACGGCGACACGCTCAGACGCGGGCGGAGGCGGCTCTGGCCGCGGCAGCGACATGGCACGGCGGCGGCGGGATTCGGGCATGGCGGAGGAGGCGGCTAGAGGGCGGGAACGAGCTCTAGGAGGAGGGGAAAAGGCGGCGGGGCTCACAGTGGATCGAACGGAGGGGTCGGCGAGCTCGGGGAAGCTTCTGCGACGACGAATTGACGGCGGCGATCTCCGGGCACCGGAGATGAAGACGACGGTGGTGGCGGCGTTCCCGGGCACCCGACGTTGCGCGGCTCGGTGAGGAGGAAGAGAGGGGCGAGGCGGAGCTCGTGGGCGTGTCGGGGAGGCGTGGGGTGGCCGGTGGCCACGGCGGCAACGAGCGGCGGCGACGAAGGTGTTCGGTGGCTGCGTGCGAGGGAGACAGAGGAGGGGAGAGGAGGAGTGGACAGGCCAGAGGGGGTCGGGGGGGTGCGTGGCGTCTCCAGCCAGCCCCCAGCGTCGGCGGAAGCAGGAGGTGGCACGGGCGCGTGCCAGCGCGCGGCGGCCACGCGCCTCTCGTCCTTCTGGCGAGAGGTTGGTGGTGACTGGCAGCGGTGGTGGGCTGGGCCAGCTCCTGGGCCGGCCAGCTGCGGTGCTGGGCCGCACAGGTAAGCCAGGTGCTATCTCTCTCTCTGTTGTTACTATTTTATTTTTTTGTTATGTTTTCTTTTGTTTAATATTCTGCCACTGTTCAAAATTCAAAACAATTTTCAAAACAGTGACAAAACCCTTTGAATAATTTTATGTTGCAGAATGGACATTTCCAAATGCACATGAAATGTTTCAAAGATATTTGAAATTATATTCTAGTATATGAATATAACTCAAATTCAAATAGCTATTGATTTAAATTCAGAGTCCCAAAAATAAATCCTTAAAAATGTTCCTAAATTCTGGTTTTATATAAAGCTCTTGCCAAAATTCTCAAACATTGCAAAAGGACATCTTGGAAACAAAGAATGAGATTTCCAGGGTTCTTTGCCCTTCTTTTATTCAAGTTTATGAGGCTTCCACTTTCCTCAATTCCAAGTTTCAGAAATTTAGACATGATGCATGAGTGCTCTATGATGCAACTAATACAAGCAATAATCTAGGGCTGTGACAATGTTCCTCATAGTCTTGACCTAGAAGAATCTGTCATCCTTTCCCTTATATTTCAACGACATAGAGCGTCTCCAATCTCTAGGTAGTCTAAGGCAATGTATTACGTGGTAGCTTAAACATACCCTCGGCTAGGGGATTATAGCCTTGCAGTATAGTTTCCTAGACTATATAATCTAGTTAACAACAAAAATATTAGAGTTGATATTGTTTTCAATGACGGTGGAGTTGTGTCACATTTAGGCAAAAAAATTTGAATCAACTAGGTGGTATGTTAAAATAACTTGAGGATAGTTTGTGATGGTGTAGTGCTATCTAAGGAGAGCGACAAATGTGTTTGGCCCAGACTAAATTTGGACAATTTACGGTCGTCCCATGTATATTGCAGTAATGCTAGACAAATACCTTGCCATTTTAAAAGACTTTGCTTTGTCAAAATTCTGCTGAAAGTCAAGATCTTTTTGTGGTCAATGTGTAAGAACAATATATTAGCTAAGGACGTAATGAAGATATTGATCACTTATTCTTCTCATGCCCGTGTCGAAAAGTTTGTGTGGCATGTGACTAAATGTGCATTATGTCTGCACATGACTCATGTTTCTATAGATTATATACCAGGTTGGATTCAATATTTCCCCTTAGTTATAAAAATGTGATTGCCTTTATTATGTATGTTGTGTTGTGGGCTTGAAAATTCAAGAACACATGTTATAATTGTATCTTGCCACATGATCCGATAAGTATTTTTTTTATGATTTTGTATTGGTTGTCATACCTGTGTAGCTTGTAGAGACAAGAGGCCTGAAGACATTGTCACAAAGAAACAGACGAGCTAACATTGATGGCCAGTGAAGTGTTTCATCATAGGTAGGTTTGGGTCTGATGATCCTAGATATTGAAGGTGGTTGAGGAGCGAGCAATGTAGTAGAAGCTCCTGAGTGTGGCTCTTTCGAGTTATAGTATCTTGAAGTGGTTTTGTGTTATGTTCCAGTGTGTTTTTTCTAGTCAGGGATGGAGCTCCCATGTAAGCATTGGGGTCAATTGACCCCAGTGAAATTAGGTAATCCTTCATTAGTTCGGTATTAATTATTGTCCATTAATTAAAGATGACCCCACTGTCATTGACATGACCCCATCAAATTTTTTCTAGCTTCATCCATGTTTCTAGTGACCTTATAGTAAGGGGTTTATGTGCTAGGAGTAGCATCTACAAGTTGCCTTTGCATCTTAGTTGTCGTAGTAGATGTGCTGCCTTAATAAATGTGGTTGCACAACTAGTTTTGGTTGTGATCAATTTGTGTGGCTCATTTCGAACGGTATGTTTTCAACTTTATTTCTATGAAATTGGGAGCCTGGAGCCCCTTGAATCAAAATTTGTTTTCTTAAATGCACCCATACATATATAAAAAAACTCAATAACATCTGGAAAATAAGGCACACGAGCAACTTGTTTTCTCTCACTCCCATTCCTATTGTCGATACTCACCTACTCACCTCCTCAATCTATTGCTTCCCCAGCCTCGACCACCCATCTCCGCGGGTCCACACTACTCCCATTTGTGTCGCCACTTTCTTTTATCACTTTCCTTTTTTTTTTCTTACACCTCACGCCCTCGTCACCTCAACATGTCGACATCTCGACCACCCCTCATTATCAGTCGAGAGTCCCAACATCGCCATTGGGCGTTGATTTAATTAAGGTGGTAACTTTTTCATCAACATATCAACTCGAAGCAGAATTATTGAAAGTCGGTTGCGTATAAATGAATATTACATGTGGTGCATTTTCTTTTTGTGGTACTATTCAAGAAGAATCCATTGTGGCACTTTTTTGGTTTATAGTAAAGCACCATTGCATCTCCACTCACAAGACCAGGCCACGTTTAATAAGCGCTTTATATTAAAAAAAACACAGCGAACCAATATTCAAATAGAAATCTCCATTTCCGGCAAGGTGCGCTAGGGACAAAAATGCCGCGAGCCCCAAATCCCCGACGCCGATGCCGTAGCCCCTGATCTATGTCGCCGCCGCCGCCCCGGCGACCGCTCCGCCGCGTCACCCGTGTCGTCCGCCGCCCGTCTCCCCTTGCCGCCGACCGGAGATGGGCTACCCGAGGCGCCGCGCCCACCCGCGCCGCGGCGCCCTGCTGCCGGCGGTGGCGGCGCTCCTCCTGCTCTTCCTCGCCGTCTCGCTCCTCTCCATCGCCATCTCCACGCCGCCTCTCGCGGAACGCCACCCCGGCATCTCCCGCCGATCCCTCCGCCACCCTCCGGTACGGACGCCAGCTCCGGCTCTTCCCCCCAATCCCTCGCCCCTTCGCGCAGTTCGATTCGATGTCTTGTTTCGCTCTCTGTGCGCGAGTGCACATCCGAACAGCTCGGCCGCCGAAAACGCAGGGCTAAGAGGGCGGGCGGGGACGTCTCCGGCAATGCGAGGATTTAATCGTGATTCATGTATCGGATGGATTGTTTGATAAATATGGAATATGGATTGATGATTGTAACCTGGTCTAGTCCTACCATAGCTGGTTTGATCCGTGGAGGGTTTAATCTGAATGCACCGGCTCCTTCGGTCACTCTTCTTCGAATTCTCTTGTGTTAATATGTTTTAAACTGGATATAACTGATTGATTGATTGATGAAAGCAGCAGGCCGTGTTTAACTTCAGTATATAACTGATTTATTAATTGGTTGTTGTCGTGTTACCCAAATGTAGACAAGTCGATGGACTGCGAGAGATCTGTGGGGTTCGGAGCTCGCTAGCAACTTCTATGGATGCAGTCACTCTAGCAGAAAATTTCTCGGTGAGCCCTTGTGTACATGGTGTGGATGATGAATGTCTCTCTCTGTGTGTATCAGTGCTTGTAGAGTACTACATTTTGGGAATACTTTTGAGGTGTCATCTTTGTATTACGACAACTTTACTAATTTCCTCCTAAAGCCTTTTTAAAATCCTGCAGATTCCAGTGTTGCCACGCAACCAGATCGATATTTGCTTATTTTTACAAGTGGAGGTCTGAATCAGCAGAGAACAGGGGTGAGGAGCACCTGTCCCGACCTCCCTCCCTTGTATGAATATGCTCTCATGCGTGTGAATGGATATGATTAAAAACACTAACCTCATCTTCACTGATTGTCTAAGATATTTCATCAGGGTCTCCTTCAAATATTTGCAGTATCTACATTTGTTTCTGTGCCCTTCTGAGTGTTGTTTGTCCAAGAAAATATCAAAATACCATTCTTCTGATACAATGTCGAATACATTTGAGAAGTTTCTGTTGGGCTAGAACTACACTTTTTCTTGGACCGGACTAGACCTACACATTAGAAGCATGTGGTATTTATTTGGCAGTTTTTTTTTTTTTGAAACAATGGGCTCTCCTGTCCATTTCCATTAAAGAAATCACCAACTTAGTTCATCATTCAACAACAACAAAAAACGAAGAGCTGATCTATTTGCCAGTATGCTATGTGGCACCAGCTTCCTTTGTTTCTTGAGCCTTATTTCTTTTCCTTATGGCTATAGAGTTGATAGTTTCCATCCTCATTCATGAGTTACATAGAATAACAATTTACCGCAAGTGTGCGTGTTTTTTTCTGTCTTGTACCTTTGGACTATGTGTATCAGTCAAGTCATGGCATTTGCTTATTTTCAGATAGTTGATGCTGTAGTTGCTGCGCGCATTTTAAACGCTACACTTGTTGTTCCCAAATTGGACCAAACATCTTTCTGGAAAGATTCAAGGTATGCAATTAGTGAACGCTCCCAAATTTGAACTCATGGTCTTCTATGACTGTTCGATTGTTTAAAGTGAACCATTTGCACTTGTTCTATAATTAATGCAATATCTGCTGCAGCAATTTTTCCGAAATCTTTGATATCGACTGGTTCATTTCATTTCTTGCGAAGGATGTCAAAATTATCAAAGAACCTCCACAAAAAGGAGGTAAAGCTGTGCGACCTTATAAAATGCGTATACCCCGAAAGTGTACTCCACAATGTTACTTGAAGCGTGTCTTGCCTACACTTCTGAAGAAACATGTAAGTTGTTGGCCTTTTGGCTTACTAGGAACCCTCATTTTAGAAAGAAGTAGGAGCCCTCATCACTCTGCTTTATATGTTCTATATGAAATTCTCCTGATTTTCTTGTCATCCACAACATGTCAACATATTAAACTCCGTTAAAAGACGTCCCACTTATTTGCTAGTGCCTTTCTGGCCTGGCGGGGAGTATTGGCTTGTGCAACTATCGGAATATCCGGCACCAAGACTATGATGGAGCACCGCTTCAGGGTTCGGGGTGAAAACTCTAGTCCTGGCCTTTATTGATCGGGCTCAGCAGCGAGAACTTGCTTCGTCACCTTGTTGAAGGCGGTGTCTCCTTACTGTTGCGCTGGCCTTCATTGGCTGTTCTCAGCTATCAGGGTGAAAATCCTTGTCCATGCCATTCCGGCCAGACATGGCGATGAGGACATGAGGGCGTTTATTCCTTCTTGGAGACGTTACTGTGGAAGAAGTTGACTTTGGTCATAGGTGTTAATTTCATGCCTTGTAATGGTTCGGCCGTGGTTGCCTATGTTGTGCACTCTGCTTGTTGATTATTTTTGCATCATTGCCTTGCGTTGACTCTAATAACAAATGGGTGTGTGCATCATAATGATGCAGAGGTTGGGGGTTTCAACCTCCTTTTCAAAAAAAAGTTAAGCATTTATGGGCATTCGTTAGATTAACTGGCCAGTTGCTTTACCTGATACTCTGACAGTTGATTTTTTTTTTCTAGTAACTTAGACGACCTTTACCGAATTTACCTATGTAGGGGTGTTTTCCATTTATGCTGGCATTCTATTCATTCTGTAACTTCTTGGTACATTGTGTTGCTTTCTATGCCTGTCTGTAGTTTGATTTCTCTTTTAGCTCATTTTGTGGATCCGTTTAATTTTGATAGATTTCAGTAAATGAAAAATCCGCACTAACATAGCTTATTTACTATGTATATCGTGTTGCAGGCTCTTCGACTGACTAAATATGACTATAGGCTCTCGAATAAGTTGGACACTGACCTACAAAAACTGCGCTGCAGAGTAAATTACCATGCTTTGAGATTTACTGATCCAATACAAGAGTTGGGTGAAAAGCTAATACAGCGAATGCGAGAGAAGAGCAAATATTTTATTGCTCTTCATCTGAGGTACAGCTAGTTGAAGCTGACCTTGATCTACACATTTCCTTTGGTCATAATTTTATCCATCTAAGTTCACTCCTTTATGGCAGATTTGAAAGTGATATGCTTGCCTTTTCTGGGTGTTACTATGGTGGTGGAGAAAAGGAGAGAAGAGATCTAGGTGCCATTCGCAAGCGATGGAAAACCTTGCATGTATGAACAGTTTCATGTCTCAGTTAGATAGTGAGCTAAAGCTACCTATTGCTAACCTGTTGTGTTCTTAAATTTCAGACAAGTAACCCAGAGAAAGGAAGAAGGCAAGGTAGGTGCCCACTAACTCCGGAGGAGGTAGGGCTGCTGTTGAGGGCATTGGGCTATGGAAGCGATGTCCATATCTATGCTGCTTCTGGTGAGATATATGGAGGGGAAGAAACTTTGGCACCCCTCAAAGCGCTCTTCCCAAATTACCATACAAAAGAATCATTGTCAAGCAAAGATGAGTTGACTCCATTCTTGACACACTCATCCCGCATGGCTGCAATTGATTTCATTGTCTGTGATGGAAGTGATGCTTTTGTGACTAACAATAATGGCAACATGGCCAAAATGCTTGCTGGGCGGAGGTGATGCTTCTGTTCTTTCTGTTGTATATCTCTGTTGGCCATTTGTATATCTTGTTCATCTTAGTACATTTCCGAATTCTGACTGTGTGATGCTGCTCCTCGCAGGAGATATTTTGGCCACAGGAGAACAATCCGGCCAAATGCCAAACAGCTCTACCACTTATTTACAAACAGGGGAAATATGTCATGGGACAAATTCTCGTCGCAGGTGCGAAAAGTCCAGAAAGGATTTATGGGAAATCCCATGGAAGCCATGCCAGGAAGAGGCGAATTCCATGCCAATCCTGCTGCGTGTATATGCGAAAAGACAGATGAAAATAAATCGAGCCCTGGTAGTAATCAGGAAATTGTAAATCGCACGGGAATAAGGAAGGCCATCGGTGAACCAGCATATCCTGTCTACACCGATGAAGAGGCGGATGGATCTGACACTGAAGACAATCCCACAGGGACAGGAGAAGAAGAGATGATTACTGAAGACGGTCCTGCCGCTGGAGAAGAGATGGTCACTGAAGACGACCCCACTGCGACAGAAGAGGTAATTGTTACCGAAGCTGAGGCCGACGACGATTCTTCGGTCAGACAGGAGGGTTCCGAGCTGGAGGAGATCCTTTCGGATTAGCCGAGTTGCTATACAGCTTGGAGGAATTAGTTGAGTTATTTGCATACAATACAAGTGTTGTATGTGGTAGAAACTGATGCACATTGACCCCTCCAGAGTCCAGAGTAGAGCTGGTCCGCTCCCTCTGGTGTACATATAGATCTTGTGGTGGACTGAAGCTGTACATCCTCTCCCCTTCCCTCCTGGCCCAACAAGGGTGGCCTCAATTTGGCAGTTCTCTTCGGAGTTCGTAACATTTGCACCGTTGTCTGTAGCTCGTCGGAATGTGTTCGTTCTGCTTTAGAAATCTCTGTCCTCTTCTCCTGGCCAAAGCTTTCATACATGTGACATCTTCAATCTCTTGTGTTGTTCCTCTAAAGAGAAGAATCTCATGTGTTGTTACAGTACATATTATGAACTGATACAGTGCCGAATTGTTCTTAACTTATCATGGTGCAGTTCAAGCTTTACTGGTCTTTGCACTATACTTTCTCATGTTTTGCTAAGGTGTGCATGTTCACTCTGTAAGATTTGAGTAAACATTCATTCGTGCATTTGTACTACTGTAGCGTTTCAATCGCATTGTTTTCTACTGCATCGAGTGTTTCTACTGCACCGGGCATACAAGCCCTTGCCTTTTTAATGTATGTTTTTCAATAGCATATAGAATCACAAAGCAGTATTGAACTATTGTTTTCTTCAATAAAAATAGAATGCGAGTGCTGAAACATTTCTACAGAAGCGGAAGTTTGGATATATGCTGCAATATATACTGTGAGGTGTGCTGGGTGTATATGCTGTCAGCTGTCCAGCCAAAAACAATGGTTTAGCTCAGGCGAGACATAAATGGTATTCCATCTTTGGAGTGCAATGCTGCATGTGCTCACGCACCGGCTACATGTCTAAATGGATTGTATTTTTTTTAAGTCGGCACCGAAGGATCTCGAATCATTAAAATAGAAGAGGACGGTTGCCCGGTTAATATACAGAACCAGACTAAAACCGTCACAACAGCCCACACAAGGCAACTGCGGCTGACCTGGCCACCCACATGATGATACACACGTTACAGAGAAGAAACCCATAGTCAAGGTTGTCAACAAGTGCCATGGTCATCACTCCTCCATGAGACTGCGACTCCGACTTTACCATCGACTTCATCAACGAAGTCCTCGTCGCAACAGACGCCAGAACCAATGTCGGCCCATGCCAAACACTTGGCCACCCGTGCTGACGCCCAGACAGCTCTGACTTGAAGACCACCAGATACCGGAGAAATATTCAGAGCTCGCGCCAACCAAGGCATCCTCGAAGCGCGGCGACTATATCTCGCATTAAGCGAGACGATAGGATGTTTCACTGAAGGGTCTACAGTAAGCCAAGGCATCCTCGAAGCGCGGCAACTTTCGCATTAAGCGAGACGATAGGATGTCCCACTGAAGGGTCTATAATAATCAGGCCGGCGCATTCGCGTACAGATAACTTCATCAACGAAGTCCTCGTCGCAACAGACGCCAGAACCAATGTCGGCCCATGCCAAACACTCGGCCACCCGTGCTGACGCCCAGACAGCTTCGACTTGAAGACCACCAGATACCGGAGAAATATTCAGAGCTCGCGCCAACCAAGGCATCCTCGAAGCGCGGCGACTATATCTCGCATTAAGCGAGACGATAGGATGTTTCACTGAAGAGTCTACAGTAAGCCAAGGCATCCTCGAAGCGCGGCTACTTCCGCATTAAGCGAGACGATAGGATGTCTCACTGAGGGGTCTATAGTAATCAGGCCGGCGCATTCGCGTACAAATAATAAAGGAAAAAGGGAGGAGAAAAGGGAGTGCGCAGGTTGATTCGAACCCTTGGTTGAGGCAAAGTGTAGCTAGCCACTAGAATTGCCTTGGGGTTCTTCATAGAGTAGTACGACAGGACTACTTAACTCTAAACAAGCCGGGTTTTCCACTGTTTCTTCTTCGGTTTTTTCGTTTTCTTTTTATTCTGTTTTTCACTGGGTTTTCTCCATTTTCATTTTTTTTCTTTCTTTTTTCATTGTTTCTCTTTATTTTTTCTCTCTTTTTTCTATTCTTTTTTCCTTCTCCATTTTTTTCATTCTTTTTGCATTTATTCATTCATTTTTTCTATTTCCTTTTTCTTTGGTTTATTTTGTTTTCATTTTTTGGGTATCTTTGTTTCTTTTGGTTTTCATTCTACATTTCTGTATGTGTTAACAACATTTTTTAATACACCTTTAACATTTTTCAATACAAGTTTTAACATTTTTTAATACATGGTCAACATTTTTTCTATACATATTTTATTTTATTTTAAAATGCTTAATTAACATTTTCCAAATACAAGATAGCATTTTCTAATACATGGTCAACATTTTTTCTATGCACATTTAACATTTTTCAGGTGCTTGATTAACATTTTTTAAATGCAATATCAACATTTTTTAACACATGGTCAATATTTTTTCTAAACATATTACATTTTTAAAATGCTTAATTTGCATTTTCAGATATGTATTCCACATTATTTTTATATGCTTGATTAAAAATTTATATACATGATCAGATTTTTCCATATTTTTTAATACATGGTGAATATTTTTCTATACACATTTAACATTTTTCAAATGCTTTACTAACATTCTTCAAATACTTCTAAAAAAATTTAAAATGTTTGATTAACATTTTTATATACATGATAAAAAATTCACCATTTTTAATACATTGTCAACATTTTTACTGTACACTTTTGACATTTTCCCAATGCTTGATTAACAATTTTGAAGCACGTGTTCAACATTTTTTTCTAAATGCTTGATTAACATTCTTTTTAATACATGATCAAATTGTTTCATACACATTTAAATTTTTTGTATACATTGTTCGTATGTGATAAACATTTTCTCGATACACATTCAACATTTTTCAAACGCTTGGTCAATATTTTTCAAATGTTTTTATGTACAGTGGTTTTTGTAATATATTTATATAGAATATTTGGAAGCATAAACAAAAGTAAGAAACGAAAGCAAAAAGAAAAATAAAAATAAAAAATAAAACAAAAAACAAGGTTGTTGTTCCGGCGCGCATGGCCCGGCCCAACTCGTGCCACCCTTTAGCGAGGGTTCCACCCGTCTCACTGAATGCGAGATATAGGGGAGCCCTCCTCAGAGACCACCAATCACCTGTTACCGTCACCACCTAGGCAGCTCCGACTCTACGACGGCATGGCGAGACAAAGATGAAACTTGTTGAACACGCCGAAAACAGACGACCACCAAAGCCTTGCTGCGACCCTGCTTAGCCGGTCATCATCATCGTTGCAAAACTTGACACCACACACCACACATTATTGTCAGACGGGCACCTACCGACCACGATGTCGCGAATGTCCAGCCCCTAAAGAGTGTGAATGGGATTGAAGATCTTCAAGGCGACGCCCCCAAGGGGGGCGACGTAGGAAACGACGCCATTCCCCGACCCGACACCAGGCCTTAGGTTTTCGCCAAAAGAACAAGATCCAGGGTCAGGGTCGCAAACCTCCACGGTGGTGCCTCCAAGGAGAACAACGCCGCCCACTGACGCTACTACCACCGGCCAGTAAAAAACCAGCTAGGCCTTTGCGCAGAGCAAAACGACAACCTCCCCGTGCAGCCGACTCGCACCTCCGCTAGCCCACAAGCCTCCTGTGTAGTCATCGTGCCATGACCAAATGGGAGCCACCCCAATCCTCGCGTGTGGACACTACGCCGAAAATGGGGGGTTGGATGCCAAACAGGTAAAATTTGAGGATGCGCCCGCGCGTTGGACCGTGTTGTCTGTCAGTTTTGGCCGAAATGGACACAAGCGGACGGGATGGGGTCGTGCGTTGGAGTTGGCCTAAGAGCAACTCCAACGCGCCGACCCATTTCATCTGCGCGTGTTCGTTGGGTCACCGCGGACAGAAAAGTTGGCCCAACGCGCCGATCTGAACGGACGCGCGTTCGCATTTTGTCTGCGAGCAGACCCATTCCAAGCCCAAATTTGAGCCTCATTTGCGTCGGCATGGACATGAAACGAACGTGCGTGACGCGCGCCTACTCCTCTCCCTGGTCCGCTAGTCGGTGGCACAACGACCACCATTTCCCTCCACTTCCCCAAAATCCTCACACCCACTAGCGCTCCCTGCCATGGACGATGACGCGGCGACCCTCGCTGATGCCGCCGGCCTCGTCTCCGTCGACTCCATGAAAGGCAACCCCCCCCCCCCGCCCCATGGCCACGGGGGAAGACCAACTCCAAGGAGGACAAGCGCGATGTGGCTTCGATCGCCTTGCTTGCAATCGTGGAGGGCATGATGAGCAAAAAGGGAACAAGGGAGAAGAAGCACTGATAACCCACAAGTGCAGGGGATCAGTTGTAGCCTCTTTCGATAAGTAAGAGTGTCGAAACCAACGAGGAGCTAAAGGTAAAACAAATATTCCCTCAAGTTCTATCGACCACCGATACAACTCTACGCACGCTTAACGTTCGCTTTACCTAAAACAAGTATGAAACTGGAAGGACTTTGTAGGTGTGATAGGATAGGTTTGCAAGATAATAAAGAGCACGTAAATATAAACTAGGGGCTGTTTAGATGAAGACACAACTAAGTTAGTTTTAGTAGAGAGCTTTTTGTCACGAGAAAGTTATTTGTCCCTAGGCAATCGATAACTAGACAGGTAATCACTATTGCAATTTTATTTGAGGGAGAGGCATAAGCTAACATACTTTCTCTACTTGGATCATATGCACTTACGATTGGAACTCTAGCAAGCATCCGCAACTACTAAATATCATTAAGGTAAAACCCAACGATAGCATTAAAGCATCAAGTACCCTTTATCCCATACGCCACAACCCCCTTACTCGGGTTTATGCTTCTGTCACTCAAGCAACCCACTATAAGCGAATCATGAACATATTGCAACACCCTACAGCGGGAATCCCTCACGCTTGCGCGACACGAAGAGCACCATAGGACAGCTCCAATAAT